TCATTTTCATGCACTTTGCACTCAGCTACACTGGTATTCAGAGAAAAATGCTCCCATGACAACTGCCACAACAGATGGTATTTGATCAGTCTCCAAGCTACCAAGGAGATCTACAACAGGGCTTCTGAGGTTGCATATTTTACGTTATCGTGAGACCGGGTCCTGCCTTATCATGATTGAAATATAAAGTTTTCCATTTGTCTTCTATCTCCCTTCCCTCCTCCCTCCTTCTCTTTCCAGCTGTTGGCATGTTTTTTTTTTTTTTATGATTTATTTATTTATGCATTCATGACCTGGGGTACAGACCAGAGTTTCAGGGGGTGAGAGGATTCACCAGAGACAGAGTGGGGAACAGAACAGGCAGACTGACTGAAGTACACTGCTGAGGGGAGCAGTGGGCAAGAGAGGAGAGGTCTGCCTCGCCATGTGGGTTGCTCCTTGGTAGGCTGGGGATAGAACTTGTACTGTAGAGGCTGTGGATTGCTTCATAGTGCAGTGCTTAACCCCTTGCGCCACCAGGGAGGCCCACTGTTGGCATGTATTTTGATTTTCCTCCTCGCTTTCTGACTGTCCTGGGTGGAGATATCTGCACAGGGAGGCAAAGACTACAGTGTACAGTCTGTGGAACTGGCCCTGAGAGTCGCTGTTGAGAAACTCAGCTTTGGGATGGAGATCCCTGTTGAGGGAGCAATCAGCTTTGAGAGCACAACAGGGATCTCCCTGTTAAGCGAAGAAGGTTTATTTATTTATTTATTTTTGAAAGATTTATTTTTTATTTATACTAGAACCGGGGTACAGGCCAGAGGCACGGGAGGGTGAGAGGATTCACCAGAGACAGAGTGGGGAGCAGAATAAGCAGACAGACCGAAAGCACTGTTGAGGGGAGCAGCTGGTTAGAGAGGCGAGTTCTTCCGCGCCATGTGGGTATCTCCCTGGCCAGCCGGGAATCGAACCCGCGCTGCAGAGCCTGTGGACAGCTTCACAGTGCTGCAAACAACCCACTGCTCCACCAGGGAGGCCCGAGGGAAGAAGGTTTAATTGTAGTCTCTCTCTGGAATATTTGTGGACTTCACAGGGTAGAAGCCACATGTGGCCTCTAACAAAGGGAAGCCTGGGGAAGTGCATCTTGATCTTGGTCTGTCCTCTTCCTCTGCTTCTTCTTCATCCAGCACCTTCCTGCTCCCAGAGTCTCCAAACCACATTATGGTCCCTCTTCTGAATTCCCTGCCTCTATCCCCTCTAATGCTGCAAACTCCTGGTAACTCCATCCCAGGCTCTAAGACCCATTTCTATGGCAACAACTACAAAAGCTTTCTCACTCAGAGCAGCTCCCTGCCCCCATCAGCAACACTGGAATGTCAGACTTCGCACAGATTTTTTCCCGCTAATTTTGGAAAGTAGTTTATGTTGGCCGCTATGTGCTAATGAACAACGTTGGTTATATTTACATACTTTGCTGGTTGAGTCTTTTCCTTCACTCTGCCTCCCAACATCAACCAGATCCTCATCTCATATCTCCCACTATGTGTCTGGATCACACATGAGCCACGAGCCTGTCTTGAAAGATGGGACAAGGACGACATTGTGCTGTGACGAGTCCCGGGATCCTGCCATCTAGCCGTCCCCCTGCTGCGGGAGGTGGTGAGAGCTGGCAGTTTTAATGGTGCATGAAGATGAATTGTTTACCTGTACAGTATTTAGAAGGAAACCTTAAGGTGAATTTTAATCACAAGAAAGCCTGGATCAAAGCAACATTCTCCCCCTCTGATCTCATTCCAAGTGAAGCCGGGAGGTTGGAATCCACATCTGACCCTGTTCTGCTTCCCAGCTCCGCTGTATTCCTGGGGTGCAGATGAAAAGAGCCTGGGTCTCGGCCTCCTTGTCAGGAGTGATTTTTAACCGTAATGGAACATTATTAAAGAGTGGATTTGAGACTTGAGGAATGTTTTTTGAACTCCTTCTATGAACAGAGAATTCATAGTAGAGGGAAAAATTTCAAGATGCTTGGTGGGGTTCTGAATCGTCTTTTAAATAATGACCCTAGTTCTTAGTTTTAGCATTTTCTGGGAGTGCAATCCAGCCATCCAGAGATTGCTGTCAGTTTCATCTCCTCTTCAGGAGAAACCACTTGTGGTGCCCTGAGGCTTCCTCTCATCACCTAATGAAAAAAGATCCTAATACTTTCCTCATTTAAATGCTCTGATTCTCCTTGAAGTGGATGGGAATCAGTGTGTGTATCAGATGGCTCTGTGGTCTCTAGAGAGAGGGGCTGTGTGGCTGTGGGCTGCTGGATAGGGAGAAGGATTCCAGACCAAACAATGGAGCACAGTGCCTGGCACAGAGCAGACATCCACAGAATTGTGTTGATTGACTGAATGAGTAAAAGACTCATGTAATTCAGGTTTCTTAACCTTGGCATTGTTGACATTTGAGATCAGATCATTTTTTGCTGTGGGAGGCAGACCTGTGCACTGCAGGCTACTTAGCAGCACCCTTGGCTTCTACCCACTCTCAGTAGCCCTTCTTCCCACCCCGCTGAACCAGAATGTTGCCAGACATTGCCAAGATGTCCCCTGAGAAGCAAAATCTTTCCCCCTTTTCTCCCACTCTCTGCTCAGTGGGGAACTGCTGATCTAAATTATGGAATTCATTGCAAGAATGCTAAGGCTTTAAAAAAAATCATTAACAGGAAAAAAAAGTATTCTAGGAACCTATTTATAGTTATTCATCTCTTTAATAGAGTTTTTAATGGACAGAAAGCCCAGTGGATGGCAATTGCAATACACCAAGGCTGACTAGCCTTCTAAGAAGAAGTCCAGTACTTTACATGGTGCTGTGTACATTGATTGCTTCGTGAATGTGACAAGTAAATGTACTGTATGTTCCTTGGAAGGAAAGTTCTCTAGAATTACAATATTGTGGTATAGCAGTGCTTTTCTTGAATATGTTGGTGGGTATCTTTTTACTCATCTAGTGTTGCACTGCTCCACTGTCTCAGAAATAACTTATTCATGTCAGCCGACCCACACGACCCTTCCAGGGATAGATATCAAGGATACCATTTTTGATTTTGCATTAGCAGATTCAGAGGTGGTTGGCTTTTTCTTTTTCTCATTTTCCGTGGGAACATAATTGCCAAAGCCTTGTGTATTATCCAAGGACAAGATTTTATATTCAAGAAGTAGGATAGGATTATAGAAGGAGACAAAAGGTAGCAGAGGATTTTTATAATTTTGTCTTGATTTACATATTAATGCCTCTTTGTGCAGGTAACAAGTCCGTTTGAATAGTATTGGTATATCACCACTGTACAATGGCAGAACGAAGGATGGATAGTTAACATCTTCTCAAAAAAGGGCTTTAGAATAGGGTGAAATGGCATTTGGAGATAGTTTTTTTATTATTCTTACCAATGAAAGCAGATTCTCCCAGACATTCTCCTCCTTTCTTTCCCATCCCTTTTTTTCCTTCCAAGATGACAGCACCTGGTTCTCAAGGTCAGTCAACTGTCCTGAGCTGGAAAGAAGAAAGGAGTCTCAAAATCAATCTCATGTTTACTCCCACTTTATCAGAAATGAGTTTCTATGATGGTGACAGGCATAATCCATAGCATCAGCATTTATTTTGCTTGTAGGAAATTTCATTCTGCCCTTTTCCTAGAAATGAAAAAGTGTTTCCCGGATGAGGACCCTTGAAGGTGAGCTAGCGGCTCAGAAAAAGATGGGAACCGGTGCTAGTAAGATTGCAAGGATGGAGTAATCCCTCAAGTTCAAGGTTGAATGGATTCTGCTAACATGAGCACAGATGTGTTCCGGTGTCCCATAGCTTAATTTGAAGCATTTGGAAGACGTTAAGCTGGGAAGTTGAAAGGAAATGCCAGACCTCATGGAGAGGGTGGACATCTTCAGGAAGACTGTCTTGGATGAAGTCAGACTCTCCTCAAGTTGGAGCTCTTAAAATGCAGATGCTGCTTTCTCTGTGGCTATGAAGGAGGCATCAGGATTTTGCTTGGAGAAGGAGAGGGAGAAAGAGCACATGTCCGTGTGCTAGTTCATGATAAACGCCATGCGTTCAAGACCAGTTGGAGTTCATAAAGATATTGATGGAGCTGAGAAGTCAGGTGGTGATGGGTGGTCTTGGAGATGAGCTGGGGGCCAAGGGAGTCTCCTTTGTAAAATGCTAGTTGTGTGAAATTCAAGATTCGTGTACCAAGTGAAAAGTAATTTCTTTTACATATGGCCACCATTGACATTCATCAAGCTCAAACATTTTCCTGTAGACAAAAAAATAATTAGCCCTGACAAGTGAAGTCAAATCAGACCCTTGGGAATGACCAAGTTGTTTTTTTCATGAGGACTGGACATCAACTGGCCCCTTGGCTGTGACATCAGCCCTGGAAAACCTGGAGGCCTCCTGGACTCTAGCTGGTGGGGCCCTTCTTGTCACAGAGGACACAAAGGACAGTGTTTTGAGAGGGTTACATCCCTCCCTGGTCATCTGTAGCCCCTGCCATCCTGAGAATTTTGTGAGTAAACACTGCTCAGATTCCTACTGCAACTTCCATTCACTGTTTTACATTTGACAGCCTGCCTCCTCAGTGGCTGGAAATTCCTCCCAGCTGCTGGGAGATGGGTGGGTCTACCAACCTTGTCCCCACCTCCATTTTTCTGGCAGCTGCTCAAATTTTCAGGATTGCACTGGGCCAGCGATCAACATACAGTTCTACCCCGGTTATTTTTGGCAGCCATGAGCAGTCCAAGACCTTGACTTTTGGTACTGTGTGGTTGGGATTTTAGGTAACCTTTTCCTATGCAAGTACAGACAAAGGAGAGTCCTGACCTACATCCACCACTTATTCATCCAGCAGGTCCATGTCCTTGTTTTTCCTCATTGAGAACCTTAGTGAATGCACGGTGAACCCTTTCTGACATGGCCCTTTGTTTCTAAGAAGGGATGGTGGAACATTTACTGAGTATATATGTTTTTTTTTCTCTCCCTAGATTGAAAACATAGACGCCTGCTTGAATTTCCTGGCAGCTAAGGGAATAAACATCCAGGGGCTGTCTGCAGAAGGTGAGTCAGAGTGCTTGTCATGGAACTGCCTTTTTAATCATCAGAAATGCCCACCTGTTACCTGTGATACAGTTAAGACAGGGATGCTGGTGGGCACTTCTGCTGTTGTCTTCCTTATGGTTGTGAGGTGGCCTGCTACTTGCCTGAACTTGAGAGTGCCAACTTCTTGACAACCTACAGAATCACTCCAAGGATGCAGAAGAAACCGTGCCAGCTGTGTTATAAGCCATTGAGGGTGTGGTGAAGACGAGCTGCTTCTCTCTGAGAAGGGCTTAATCCAACAACACTGATTTGATTCACCTGATTAGTAGTGCCAAGCCAGGCCTAACCTGTGGGAGAGAGAACACTTAGCCACAGAACATACTGAAATCATACAGTTTCCAGGGGAAAATGCCTAGTTCTTATCTGTTATTTTTATTAGAAGAAGAAGCTCTTTTCCCAGCTTGAAAAAAAAAAAAAAACCCAAACCAAAAACAAAACATGTGATTTATTAATGATTGGCTACTTTTTGACATCCTGATGAGATCTTAATTAGCTTAAATTTGTGCCTAATTAGAACACAAGCATTTGCTATTCAATTAGGTATTGGTCTAGAGGTGACTGGTTTGGATTCTCAGCCTCCTCAGGCAACCTCTCGCCCTGGGAACTCTCACTCTCTCCTGTCTATAAATACAAACAGCCGCCAGCCCAGGCCGATCTGCCCGGCATTCTCCCAAACTCATTAGGCTGCACCTGCCTCCAGCTTTCCCAGAACAGGTAAAATAGTTTGGGCTTCAGATGGCACCACCTCTCCCTTGCAGGGTTGCTTTTTTAAAGAGATGCCTGTTGGCATCGACTCTTGTGGTCAGGGTGGGGAGGAGGGGAAGCAGTGAGGAAGGAAGCAGCCCCATGAGCAGGTAAGTCTACAAATTGGTGGGTTCCTTTTGGGGTCTGTTCCCTGCCTTTGCTCTGCTGTGAGGTGAATGCTGGGTTTCCCTGGCTTTGTTGCTGAACTGTCATCTCTTCCAGTACTGGGGGCAGGTGGCCCCTGCTGGTGCCTGTGGGCATGTTGTATTTCTGGGTGGGACTATTGGGTTTCCCCAAGTGGGACCTCAAAGGTGCTGAGCCTGTCCCAGGTCAGGCACAACAGCACCGTATCCAGAGGTTTCAGAAGCAGCTTCCCAGGAATCAGCTTTAATTCTAGCTCTGAGTAGAGGGCATGTGTCGGGTTCCCTTGCTTTGGGGTGTGAGCCCTCCTTCATGGGGTTGAGATCCGGGCTGAATGACATATGGCATGTACATTGCTAGGGTGTAGGAGGGAGGGTGGGGGAGGGTGTTTCTGTGGTTAGGTAGGGAGATGCAAATTCCCACTCTGAGGAACACCTTATTTCTTCCCATAGAGAGTTCTTGTGCTGGCTGGTAGGTGGCAGGCACATGCTCCTGCTAGTTTCTGGGAGTGATTGGATCCCTCAGAACTGTGCCTCTGGCAGAGAATCAGCAGGGATGTTTCACAGAGTCATGCTCAGCAGAAACAGCTCTAGAGGGTATAGACTCTGGAAGCTAGCTTCATCCCAAGTGGCCTGGAGCTGACCTCTGGCCACTCGGCCATCTCTGCATTGTTCTGCCTTCCGCCTCGTTTATTACCCACCCCTCATCTCTTCCTCTCTACACCTTCAGACATAGTGCATCTTCTCGATGAATACTTGTCTCATGAATAATGCCAACTGTGCTTTTAAGACTTTTATGTGTATCAGCTCCAGCTCTCATGACTGACGTTGGAATTTATAGTTTCCTGGCTTTACAGATGAGGAGACTTTGGCTCGAAGAGGTTGTGGATGGCTGGAACTGGAGGGGATTGTGCTGAGTGAAATAAGAGAGAAAGAGACAAGTCCCAGATGGTGACACTTATATATAGACTATGGAGGAACAAAACAGAGTCAGATAAACCCAAACTAATACTAAACTCTAGAAACCTGACTGTAGAGTTGAGACTACTGAAGGGGCAGAGGGAGGAGAGCAAGCTGGGAAGGGTGCACAATGGACTATGGTGGAGAACTTTCCAGTGCTTAGTGGTGAGTGTGGTGAGGTAACATACAGCTGAAGGGTGTGATCCTGTACCTCTAAGTTACATACAGTGCTGTAAGCCAAAGTTAATTCAGGAAGAATAAAAGGAAGAAAATAATAAAGAGGGTATTCATGACATCCCCAAGAGCTGTAGCTAGTGAGTGATGGAGCCAGGATTTGAAACCAGGCATATGATTTCAGAATTCATATTCATGGTATTTTGGGGGAAAGCAGATGGGTAAAATCTAGGCATGCCACATACAGGCAGTCAGAAAAGACCTTGAACAATTTGTTGCCTGGAATGTTGGCTCAGAAGGCGTAGCAGTCCATGAAGGCATAGCATGCAAAGAGACAGTCAGCTCCTGCCCTCATTGATGCTGGGATGTGGCCTTTGTGAGTCTCCAAGCATAGAAGAGTGTATCGTAACCAGAGGTTGACGTGTCAGCGCTTGGGGTGTAACGATGAAGGGGGCTCATGTATGTCCTCCCTCACTGCCAGTCTTTTCTGCTGGATCGACACTCACTTAATGCTGTTGTGATAGAACCCATAGCTCTTCAGTCATGCTCAGTGATGACAAGTTTTATGTCAATACTTATGAATCAGCATTGTTTTAAAATTCATCCAGAAACTCTACTCAAAGGTCTTTACCCCACCTCCCCACCAAAGGTAAGTAGCATTAGAAGGTTGAGGAACGGTGGGGCCATGATCACTGACTTCCTTCCCTTCTCTCCCTCTGTTCCTGGGCCTGGGTCTGCAAAGTTGGGGTGGCTTAGTGAAGGCAGAATTTTGTTGGCAGAGAAGTTGCCATACTCCTCCCAGGTATTTGCCACAATCCCAAGGTGGGGATTTTGGTACTGTAATGCTCCCGGGGCCTTGGTAGTGTGTGGTGAGACTCTTTTAGCTCACCCCCAACTGATAGCATGCATGTCCCATCCCCCTGATACAGGTCCCTGTTGGTCCCCCCACTAAGGTCCAGGTAAGATTGTGAAATTCAGTCTCATGGCCCCTCCATTACCCGCCATAGAACCAACAGGAATGTGTGGGCTCCATCTTGTCCTTGTGGCTGGTAGAACAGGCCTCCTGTCACCTGGAAACACCCCACCCCATGATCTCTCTCCCCAGCTCTTTCCCCACTTCCAGGTGACCAAGAGGCACATCTGCTAAGTCCCTCTTAGCAGATGTCTGACTAGGGACTAGAACGCCAGCAGCACTACTGGCAGAAATGCTCGTGGAGCCTCCACTACCTTGACTTAATGAGTTCAAGTCCCCACCTTCTTGCTCCTTGGTGAGGGGAAGAAATAGGCTGTCTTTGTGATCAAACATTTTCATCTGTCTTTTTTTAATATAATGTCTTTTTTTTAAAAGATTGGCCAGAGGTGCGGAGTGGGGGGCAGGTGAGAGAATTCACCAGAGACAGAGTGGGGAGCAGAACAGGCAGATAGATCTACTGCAATACACTGCTGAGGGGAACAGCAGGCGAGACAGGAGAGGTCTGTTGTGCCATGTGGGTTAGCTCACTAGCTGGGAATCGAACTCATGTTGCAGTGGCTGCTGATAGCTTGACAGCACTGAGACTTTAACCCCTAAGCCACCAGGGAGGCTCAGACATTCTCATCTAGATGACATTCCCACCTAAATCTTCTGACACTGGTTTTGGGAAGTGGGGGTTGATGGAGATGATGGTGTTTGTTGACAAGATTCTGAACTGGCACTATCTTGTTGGAAGACTGCTGGCCCCAATCTTTGTCAACAAATTGAACTTATATGAGCAAGAGCACTTAGCGCCTCACATCCTCCAGTGGACCTTACTCCCAGGGTTACAAGGAATATCTCATGTGGTATATTATACTACTCGGTTAACAAAAGAGAAACCATCTATGTATGTCAGTCATCCAAGCTAAGTGCTGTGCACATTTATATCTTATTTAATTCCCCCAGCAACCTTCTGAATTTATATTTCCTCATCATACAAAGAGTAAACTGAGGCCCAAAAGGTTAAGTTACATGTGGGAAAAGGGAAGCCCCTCAGGTGAGTGACTGATCATCTCACATGTGCTGATTCGAAAGCCTGATATTTCCTACCACTCATGTCACCACCTCTACCCACACTTTTAACCAGCGGCATAATTACCAGAAAAGCAATATAGTATATAGAGAAATAATGTCGTTTTAATGTTTTTTGTTTTCCTTTTGAAGATGACTGAGTGCCCTGAGGCTCCTCCTCTGATGAAAACATCAGCGGTTGGAAAGCCCCATAGGGGCAGCCCCACCCTTCCCTGGTGACTAAACATGGTTTGGAACTCAGACGGGTGTATGCACCTGTCCTTGAAGCTTCAGCAGCTCAGGCGCTGCCCCGACCTGCCTGTTAGAGAGCTCGCAGAGCTTGTGTTCCCGCGCACAGGCAGTGAAGTCTACAGCCAGAGGCTGCAGACTCTGGTGAGCCCCAGGGAGAGGCTGCTGGTGTGGGGCAATTTCTCCGGACTAGGCCTTCCCACCCCCTCTGTGTGCCCGAAGGCTGGACCCATCCTTTTGCTCTTGGAGATGTGCCAGAGTCCTGTGAGCTGGGGCCTCACCTGGCTCTGAGTGCTTTTCAAGATCCCTCTCACCCCTCCCTGACATACTCCACCTGTCACAACCATCTGTAAACCTGTCCCTAGGAGGGAGGATGGCCTCGACCCCTGGGAGTTTTGAGAACACCTGGGGTTTGTACTACCTGGCCCTGAGCCCATCTTCCCATAATGGAGAAGTAGAGTTCTGGGGGTATCCTATTTAGCTCAGCAAATATTTGCAGGGCACAGCCTGTATACCAGGCCCAGTGCAGTAGCCTGGGATACATGGTGTATCCAGTCATTTGTACATACTTGCCTTAATTCTAATTAACAGGAGAACTGTGCTAGCAGTCTATGAAGGATCCAGTGGCCTCCAAATGAGGGCAGTTGATCAGCTCTGCCTGGGGA